ATGTAAGTATATTTAATTTAGTTGTAATGTAAATACAATAAAAATTAAACCAACATTTAGAATAATTATCATTTTGAGCCGTGCATTAGTAATGTGTGACTGGGCCTCGTGTCACTTTATGTTCAATAAACTGGGCCCCGAGGTCAAAAACGTTCAGAACCCCTGAAGTAAAACACATTTATTCAGTTTAGAGTGGAGCTGAGAGAACTCGTCATGGTTTTAGCTTCTCACCTAACCCCAACCCTAAACTTAATCCTAACCCCAACCCTAAGCTTAATCCCAACCCCAACCCTAAGCTTAATCCCAACCCCAACCCTAAGCTTAATCCCAACCCCAACCCTAACCGTTCAGCTGGTTGGTCTGGTTTATTTTATATTTTTATGGTGAGGTTTTTTTAGTTTAGTTTGGTGTAGCTGTGGCTTTTGACGGCCCACTGTCACACCTGTATTGTTGTTTGTAAGTATGTTGTGACCCTTGTGTGTTTTCAGACTTTATGAATGAGGAGAACATGTTGCATCATAAATGTTTATGATATAAAACATATATATGAAACATTTATGATGCAACATGTTCTCCTCATTCATAAAGTCAGGAAACACAGCTTACAGAGGCTCAGTCAGGAGGATGAGGAGGAGACAAACAGGAAGGTGTAATCCCGCTGTCAGCTGATGCTGGCAGATTATATTATTCTGGGTTTAGTTTACGTCCCCGGGGTGGATTATTAATGGCTGCAGCACCTCCAAAACACAGGGCCGCTGACGTCACGGCGCTGCGCTCGCCATGGCAACAAGGATGGGGGGACAACGAGGCGTCACTGCTGAGTGTCTGCTGCCCCCTGCTGCTCAGAGTCGGTACTGCAGCCTGTGTGTGTGTGTGTGTGTGTGTGTGTGTGTGTTTGTGTCACACTCACCTCATCAGAGTCCAGCAGAGGAGGCAGGGCGCTGAGGAAGAGGAGAGAAATGTTCAACAGTAGAAACTCTGCAGCTTCATCTCAAGCTTCACTCTCACTTACACATCTGCCATCGACGAAGGGATGTTCTCCTCCACCCACTTCAGGTCCTCGTCCTACACACACACATACACAGGTTTGTATTTCTATCGTTATTAGGACCTTCCATTGACTTACATTCATGTTTTTTTAGACTTTATACCCTGACCATTTACCCTAAAACTATCCTAAAATAATTCAATTTCAGTTCATTTTTCATTTCATTAAAACAAAACAAATGATTTTATATACAATAAAAGAAAAATATAAAAAGAAAAATGAAAAAAATATCTATATATATGTATATCAAAATCACAAATGAAATGAAAGGCAGCAGAGAGAAGAAAAAATATTATATCTGCTCCTTTTTCAAGAATAAGCTCATATAACAAAAAATAATCTATGTTATTAACAAAAGACAAGAACATCTAATCCCTGTAGAACAGGGGTGCCCAAACATTTTCTCTGAAAGGGCCAAAATTAAAATCAATCTGAGGGGGTGGGGGGGCCAAATGCAGTAATATAATACACGAAATGCTAATATTTCAAGGAAAGTTGTGTTTTTTATGATTAAGCTGCAGCCTGTGCAGTTGCCCACATTTTTTTTCAGCCCYTGGACACGGAGAAAATTCAACGTTTGCTCGGGCAGCAAAGGCTCATGGGACTTTTCATAATTTAAAATTTGAGTACATAGGGTCTTATAAAATCTTTAATGGATTATTTATTGGCACTTGATGATAAATATGATTAATGCCAGCAGGCAGACTGACTGGAGATTTCCCCATCAGTCAGTTCGATGCTCCTCTCCGCTTCAGATAAGAATAACGTTTTTTTAAATTATGTAATTTATTAATCATAATTTTACTTGGTCTGTCGACAATTTAAAAATTGATGTTTAGCTTGAAGTCTGTATTTTGACACAATTTGTAACAGATTTTTACAGAAAGCCTATCTTTCCCACTAGAGTGGTTTAAATTGGTCATGTGACGAGGATATGAGGTGTCCAGGGACTCCAGGGGATTAATCTGCTAAACACCATAAATAATCCTGACTCATTTTTTTGTCAATATTGCTCAATCCTAGTTGGCAAATATGTTTAATCAAACTATAAAAAAACTAATACTAAAACTAATAAAAACTAAACAAAAAAATTAAATAATAACTAATAAAACTAGCAAACCCACTGAAAAAACAAATGAAAACTGAATTAAATAAATAAAGTCACAAAGAAACGAAACTATAATGAAAAATCCAAACTATTATAACCTTGGTCCTCATATGTCACCAAATACCCGTCGAGACACACACACACACACACACACACACTTGGACTAACTCACCACTTTGTTGGCCTTGGCCGCACCGTTGGTCTCGTTCTTCGTGCCCCTCATCTTCATCCCCTCTGAGAAAAATAAATGAAAATAAAAACTTCAGTCAAAAAGTCAAACTGAAGTTATTCTGAGTGAATAAATAGAAACATGATTTATTCCAACTCGTTAGGAGCTAACTCGTTWACAATCCTAACGTCTGAAAGAGTCAAAGTTTCAGACCGAAAGCCTCGTTCATCATGGGCTCCTTCTCCTCATCCTCACTCTCTTCATCCACCAGAGGGCTGAAGGCGTACCTGTTACACAAATAAACACACAAATAAACACACAAACAAACACACAACACATCAGTTTTTCTCTCCTACGTGTCTCTAGTTGTTCTTTTTCAACAATTTATATCTGAAACTTTTCAGCTCCTTCGGGACATTTCGGCTGTGACTTTCAGGACTTTGGCTTTTTATTTGAGATATTTAGCTTTTTCTCACTTCATCGTTAAAAACCTTCAAAATGTTTCTAAATCTTTTCTGAACTTTTTCTGCTGTTTTTAATTTCGTGGTGTGAAGTTCAGTTCCCTTTGGCTCATTTTTAGCAGATTTTAGCTTTTTTCTGCTTTTCTAGCTATCGTTCTAATATTTTCTGCTAATCCACAGCTAATTTCATCTTCCTCTTCTTCTGCTACTTTAAGCTTTTCTTTGGCTCCTTTCAGCTACATTTAAACACCTTTCATTTTTTATCAGTATGTATCAGTTATTTTCAGTATTTATCAGTGATTTTCAGTATTTATCAGTGATTTTCAGTATTTATCAGTGATTTTCAGTATTTATCA